AAAGAGAGGACAAGCTGCATACTTTCTCTTATCTGTAACTGCCAGAATTGCTGGCCTTTGTTTACCAAAGTAAGCACCCCAGATAATTCCATCCTGGCGCCAAGTAACCTAAAATTATGTGGACCCCACACCTGTCCAAATAATGTATAAACTAATGTTTACCTTGACCTCTGTAAGCCACTTAAGTGGCAATCGGAATGACAAAAGTCCCCTGGCCCTTGGAATATCTGGAGCCCCCTCACCCTCGTCTCAGCCTAGGAGGTGATTGACAGCTTTCATTCCCATCTCTGCTCCTCACCCCCACTCCCAAGGTGGTTTTGTGGGTATAAAAAGGTCTTGTCACTCTTCTTTCTCTACCATGGGTTGGAGAGACGTGAGTCCTCCGTGGTCGCCGGCAATAAACCCTGCAATTCGGCATACTTTTTGTTCTGGTGTTGACTTTCTGTGCTAAGTTCAATGCAACAGCAGAGAGGAAAAGACACAATGATAAATATGTAGATACATAAATGTACTGTCATCACTGAGTGTCAACTCTGTGCCAGGAACCATTCTAACCCCTGGGGATTTAGCACTGAACACAGAAGAGGAAAATTCCAGTCCTCCTAAAGTTTACATTGGGGAAAGGCAGACAATAAACAACTAAATAAGTAAGCCATATGGTAAGTTAGAAGGTGACAGGTGACGTGGAGAAAGCCAAGCAGGAGAGGGGCTGGAGTCTGCAGGGAGGGAGCCCCCCCAGGGAGTCTGGATGCAGGACAGCCTGGTGCCCCTGACTCATTGGACCGCAGAGGGTCTTCTTAGTTTTCTCTCTTTCTCACAGAGTGGACTCAAGTTACCTGGCAGAGAGGCTTTCAACCCTGGGCCAGGGTAAGTGTGGAAGCTGAGCGGAGGGGGGAAGGGAAGATAAAATTCAGGTCCGCTCATCCTATAATCCATTTAGGGGTCTAGAGGAATTATTGTGGTGGGGCAGACAGTTTATAGGCTATGAATTCGATCGGGGTAGGTATTGATCCAGGGATAGAAAGGTGTCTAAGTCATGTCCCTTGAGATTCCCAGTGTGGTGGGGCAGACAGTTTATAGGCTATGAATTCGATCGGGGTAGGTATTGATCCAGGGATAGAAAGGTGTCTAAGTCATGTCCCTTGAGATTCCCAGTGTGGTGGGGAAGCACTCGTGAAGACATTTGCTTGTTTCATTTTATCCTACAGGAGTTTTCCCACACACTTCTTTAAAGAATGCAGTTGGGTTTCACTCTGTCACCCAGTCTGGAGTGTATTGGGTATGCTCACAGCTCATTGCAGCCTCAACTTCCCAGGCTCAGGTGATCCTCCCACCTCAGCCTCCCAAGTAGCTGGGACCACAGCTACCATGCTGGGCTAACTCTGTGTGTGTATTTTTTTTTTTTTTTTGTAGAGACGGGATTTTGCCACGTTGTCTAGGCTGGTCTTGAACTCATGGATTCAAGTAATTCTCCCACCCTGGCCTCCGAAAGTGCTGGGATTACAGGCGCGAGCCATCGCACCTGGCAGTTTGGTAGCATTTTGTCTTAAACTTTCTGTCTGTGAACAAACAGCATTTGAAAAGTCTATGAAAATGATAAAACAACAGTTTGTTGGTAGTAAAAGCTCAAACATTTGCCTGGTTAGGTTAAGAACAATATGGCCAAAACTGTATTTGTTAAGTTTCTTGGAAGGCATTCCTTCCCTTGAGGGAAAAGCAGGTTGATTCTTACATTTTCTTCTCTAGGAAATTAGGTTACGGATAGGCTGAAGCATAACAAGCAGCTTAGGCGTTGCCTGCTTCCCCATCGACACCCCATGCAGCTGTGGGACCTCTGCCCCTGGCTAGCAAAGCTTTTGGCACAGTGTCTGGTTCTCGTCTTCCTGCTGGGGCCCAGAGTCAGTTTTCCTGCATCTAGCTTGCTGTGTTTCCTTCTTCTAAGTTCCTAAATGGCCCTCCAGAATCCTGGCTGGGTTTGCCCCTGATCTACACAGTTCCTGTCCTCCTCCTCTCACTTGACTATGTGAAAGGCGCCAGGTACTAGCTTTGTAATGCGTCCCTGCTGCTCCCCGCAACACCTCTCCACTGTCGTGCTTAATTGTCTTCATTTCATTTGTCAGAGGTGTGATGTTCACTTTTTTAAGTGCAGTGAATCATTAACATTTAATAAGTGAGTTAATATCTATTAATGACGGTTCACAATATAAAACTGATTTAATGTCTCAACTCACTGCTTCAGTTTTCTCATAAAGGGAAACAGGTAAGTACTGCTTAGGAGAAAGGACGCTCACATGCATGCATCTTGCTCTTTCCTATAATGCTTCCTGGGGCTCTGTCTTTTCTCTTAGCAATGTACTGATAATTTATGGTGAGGCACAAATAAGAAAGAGAAGAAAAAAGGAATCACCCCAGGAATCCTTGAGAGAAACGCCTTAGCTTTTGTTTACAACTCCACGCACGGCCTGTTTCCTGCCCTGGTTTTTTTTTCTCAGAGGAGCTGTGCAGGAGATGCGCCAGACTCACACATAGATCCACAGCTCCCACAAAGCTTAACCAGCAAACCCTCAGAATTCTCTCTCATCCTTCTGGCAAATGTTATGCAATAGGCTTTTTTTTCTTCTTCTTTCTTTCTTTATTTTTTTGAGATGATGTCTCGCTCTTTCGCCAGGGTGGAGTGCAGTGGCATGATCTCAGCTCACTGCTCCCTGGTTCAAGCAATTCTCCTGCCTCAGCCTCCCAAGTAGCTGGGATTACAGACACGTGCCACCATACCAAGTCTAGCTAATTTTTGTATTTTTAGTAGAGACGGGGTTTCACAGTATTGGCTAGGATGGTCTCAATCTGACCTCATGATCCACCCGCCTCGGCATCCCAAAGTGCTAGAATTATAGGTGTGAGTCACCGCACCTGACCAATAGGCTCATTTTTACATCTTGTCCCTGAAGAAGAGGGATGAATTAAGAATTACACCTTGACAGTGACTCAAAAAAGACAGCAGATGCTGATGGGGTCCTTTTGATGAAACAGGACATGTAGAACTATGTCTAAATAGTTCCAATTTGATTTGAACATTATATTTTATCAGCAGATGACGTGTGTTTCATTATAGAAGTGACTTAAACAAAGCATGTGGTTCTACAATGTTCTTTTTTATTTTGTTTTGTTTTTTTGAGACCAAGTCTCACTCTGTCACCCAGGCTAGAGTATAGTGGGATGATCTCAGCCAGTCTCAGCCCACTGTAACCTCTGCCTCCTGGGTTCAAGGAATTCTCCTGCCTCAACTTCCCGAGTCGCTGGGATTACAGGTGCCCACCACCACACCCAGCTTATTTTTTATATTTTTAATAGAGACAGGGTTTCACGATGTTGGCCAGGCTCGAACTCCTGACCTCAAGTGATCCTCCTGCCTTGGCCTCCCAAAGTGCTGGGGTTACAGGTGTGAGCCACTGTGCCCGGCCTGGTTCCACAATATTCTTTTGGCTTGTTTAATTCTGAGAAAGTCCAAAATAGGGTTCGGGAGCACTCTCCCCGCTGAGATACACCTGGAGTGAAAATGAGTGTTGGATGATCACGATTTGGGGTCCTCATTGTTTGGCCAGTATTGAACAGCTGAGCTCCAAGCGTAGAAAGGTATCTAAGGCTTGTCCAGTGAGGATTCCTGCAGTAGTGAGGAAGCAGATACAAAAATCAGTTCAGTTGTGGTAGTGTAGTAAGTGCTGTAATAAAGGTATACACACAGAACAGAGAGGGCCGAGGCTGGGGAAGCTTGCACAGGATTCAGACTTGCATTAGGTGTAGAGGCAAGAGAGCAGCTCATGGCAAGGGCTCAGAAGCTGCCACCATTATAATTGAAATTTAGTGGGAAAGGGGAAAAGGAGGTCCTGGAACAGCAGTTTGCAACCAGGCTGTTGTGCCACAGAGCCTCGTCTTGATCCTGTAAGAGGAGGGTGGCTGGTAGAGTTTTATCAGCAGAAGAAAAAGAAATGAGAATGGGAAGATGAGTTAGGTGACAGCTGGACGAAGATGGGCCTGATCTGGAAAGCCTCATGGCAGGAAACCAGTTTGGCAGTGATCTCCTGGCAGGACACGAGGAAGACCTGACCTGACAGTGTACCTCAGGTAGTGACCAACCTGCTTTAAGCTCAACCCTTCTGCCAGACGGTTTTAAAACTGTATGAGCCCAGTACTGAAAAGAGAAAGTCTTCAAAGAGAAAGGCGGACCAGGAAGCAGGGAGTGAGAAGTACCCAGTGAAAGGAAGGGCGTTTATCAGTTCTCCCTCTAAGTTCATGAGTGAAATCTGAGAAATGTTGGAGCTTCGGTGAATGGAAAACTGGTGATTCCCTTTACTGCATCTACTTCATTTTTAATTTGCTGTCATCTGTTAGCTGATGAAATTAAAAAAAAGTCTTTCAGCAGTTGAAGACAGGTAATGAGAATCAGGCTGTCAGAGTGGGCGGTGCTGCTGATGTGTGGTTTATGACTGATACAGGAATCAACTTGTTGAAGCTCTCTACTTGTCAAAGCATCTTTAAATAATCCAAGCCCAGAGTTGTTTCATCTTCAGGCAAGAGAAAGTGAAAATGGCTTCAAAAGGTACAACATCTGAAATAAACACTATAAAATGCATCCACACCTGTCTTTGAAATTGGAGTGGTTCAAGCACACGGAGACAAGCAACAGCGTTTATTCCCTGATGCTAATGAGCATGTCTGTCTTTGTCTGTGATGATTGTTCTTTGAGACAAACAAAAACAATGTGAATTACGTCTGACTGTTCGAAATAGAAAGACTGCCACACTGTTTTTTGGTGATTATATGATTCAAAAAAGTGATTTTTTTTGGAAATTTTGAAATTTTTTGGTGGTTATATGATTCAAAAAAATTCCTAGGAGGCAGGCAGCGAACTCACATTCCTGTGGATCACTGCTCCTCAGTGGATGAGTTTCGTGGCATGGAGGTGATTTCGTTAGCAAGAAGCCCTGCCTGTTTTCTGGAGGGTACTGTACTTGTCAAACCAGCTCCTAGGGCAGTACAGGGTTGTGACTGGTGGTTCAGGGTTCTCTCCCCACTTAAGCCCTTCCCTTTTGATACAAACAGCAAGACCATCCTGTTCAGCAGTTGACGAATGACTGTGTGTACCACAAGGCAACAAAGATGAGGCAAGTGATGCATTTGTAACTCCGTGTCTGACTGAATTCCAGTTTTCTCCTTTCCAAGTGGTGAAACAGGAAGCAACATCCCATCAGGAAGAACCTGAGGGTGCCATCCAGTAGCTTTGCTTCACGTCACGACTGCCCTCAGTCAGAAATCTTGACTTGCAACTTTAGAGGGTGGGTCTCTGAAGGAATTTCAGGGCTTACGCAGAGATGAGGGGTGTTGCTCTCTGATGAGAACGGGGCTGGCTGGAACGCTGGAAGCCAGTCTCTGACTGCACTTCACAAGCAACATTTGTGGGCTGACATTTCAGAAAGGTAGGCGCCATCTCATTGATGTGGTTACTATCTGGGGGCTTTGAAAACCAAGGTGGCCATGATTCCCTGTGTGAGCCTATGTGTGTGTGTGCCTGGGCTCGTGACAGAGAGAGGGAGAGGAGACAGAGGTGGGGAGAGGCAGCCAAATGAGAAAATGTTCATTTTTGGCTGATGTTTGGGAGAAATACAGAAAAGACAGACTTGGGGCCCTTTGCTTTGTAGAGTTTTGCTCGGAAGTGTTCAGTAGCGGAGGGCAAACGTCGAGTCCAAACTTCCACTCCTGACCTGCATTCCTTGCTCTCGGGCCAGTTTAAACATGGGGAGTGAAATCACATGCGGTCGAATGGTCAGCATGGCTTGGTTTATTAGGAAGCCGTGACTCCAGGTGGAATGAAAGAGTCACCACAGATCTTTGCCAGGTGGCATGGCAAAGGCCATTGCCTTAAACCGAGAACAAGGTGGGACTTGCCCACCCCGCAGTGGCACGCCTTCCTAAGCTGCTTCTGTCTTGAGAGATGCAGTGCTCAGTGTTACGCCAGGAGACACGAGCTGTTTGGTTCTAAGACTGCCAGTCTCCTGCAGAAAAATGAAACAAAATCAAACTACCTTTTCTGATCCTGGCAAATGTTTAGCAAGAATGTTCTGTTAGACATTGTAGTTTTTTTTGAAATCTTTACACAAAGCAAGGAAAATAAATCTTTAGGGCTGACCAGATAATGAATTTTAACGTATTCATTAACCCACAATGTTCAAGTGCCTTCTCCACCATAAGTGAGTGTTTGACTTTAAACTTCACCCTTTCATTGCCTTCCACCTGCAAGCCTTATGTTTTTCTTAAAAGGGGTTTCCATTTATAATTTCATCAGTAGAATTTCTTGATAAGTAGACAAGTTCTTTAAAGAAAAATAGGCGTATGTTCATAAAAGTAATCATTGTGTGGTCCTCTTGTTAATAATATTTCTGCCTTTTTCTAAAGTATCAATTTGCATAAGTTTGAAGATAATTCTGGGCTAATAATAATCTACATTTACTAAATCCTTGCTATGTGTACATGCATTTTTCCATTTAGGGCTCATGGTATGTCACTTTCAGATGAGGAATTGAGGCTTAGTGAGATTTATAGCGGTACAGCAGGGAAGTGAGAAAGCCACAGCATTACCGCCTTTCTGCACACTCAGATGTAGGATTCGAGCCCATTCTATATTCCCATTCTATTCCATGAACCCCTCCTTGTTGTTGCGAGGGATTTCTGAAGCCATGATAATATTCAAATACTTGAACTTGGTATCTTATAACAAAAGGCCAGATCAGTCAATCAATAGCCGGCTTCTGCTGTTGGGGTGAATGAAGGCATGGTGTGGTGGACAGAACGTGGACTAGAAAGACAGATCAAAATTTGAATTCCTGCATCCTGCTTACTAACTGTGACCCTGGCAAGTCAGTGAATTTCCTTTTTTTTTTTTTTTTTTTTTGAGATGGAGGGTCTCGCTCTGTCACTGAGGCTGGAATATAGTGGCATGACCTTGGTTCACTGCAACCTCTGCCTTCTGGGTTCAAGCGATTCTCCTGCCTCAACCTCCTGAGTAGCTGGGATTACAGGCATGTGACACCACACCTAGCTATTTTTTTCTGTATTTTTATTAGAGATGGGGTTTCGCCATGTTGGCCAGTCTGGTCTTGAACTCCTGGCCTCAGGTGATCTGCCCACCTCAGTCTCCTAAAGTGCTGGGATTCCAGGTCTGAGCCATCACACCCAGTCTCAGTAAAATTCTTCAAACTTCAGTTTCCTTATTTATAAGATAATATTATAACATCCATCAAACAAAGTTGTTTATTATAAGGCATACAAAGGCAGGATATGTCACATGCCTTCCATTGGACCGGACAGAGGGTAGGCCCTTGGTAAATAGTATTCATTTATCTGTTTTGCAGTGATTTCTTCATGCTCTTGACATGTTGGATCCTGGTGTAAGCTTGGGGGTATCCGCAGTGAACAAAGTAGACAAGTCCCTGCCCTCATGGGGTTGCCTTTCCCCTGGTACTTGTTCATTATATCCTAGTGTAAGTTTTTTTTTGTTTTGTTTTGTTTTTTTTTAAAAAAAGACAGTCTCCCTCTCTGTCTCCCAAGCTGGAGTGCAATGGTGTGATCCTGGTTCACCACAACCTCTACCTCCCGGGTTCAAGCAATTCTCCTGCCTCTGCCTCTCAAGTAGCTGGAAGTACAGGCACGCACCACCATACCCGACTAATTTGAGAAATCACTTTGTGATTCTCTCTCTTTGTGGAGCTGATCCAGCTTTCGAACAGCCTCTTAAGCAAAGTAATGAATGTCCTGTGCCAGAGTCCTCTAAAGCACAGTAAAACCAGGCAAAAAGCAAGAACATCAGACACTTATTTTTCAAAAGTCAGTTTGTTGTGGTAGGCCAGGAAAGTTATAGTTTTGCACACACACACACACACACACATGCACACACAGAGTTTATGTGGGTTTTCCCTGGCCTCCACGCCACAGCAGAAGCACTGCCAGGAGCTGGCAGAGTAGTCATGGGAGGAAGGTGCTGGGCTAGCTCCAAGGGAGCTCCCTCTACTCACAGAGCGTGAAGTGTATCGTGGCAACTGTTCATGTATCTTGGACCCCAAGCCATCCACACAACAGCCTTGGGTTTTCTAAGGCCTCTTCAACATGAATTTAGGGATACAATGCAAAGACTGATCTGCAGATGTACACCTTTGTAAGGATAGATTTGGGACAAAAGCGACTCACTTACTTATTGGCAAAAAGCCTGCCGTCAAGTTCATCGAGTAGGCCAGCTGGCATCAAGAATGGTGTGTTGGCAATCTGTCCCCATGTTTGAATCCTGAGAAACTGCAGATCTCAGTAGAGAGATAGGAGAGAGGAACATGGGGAGGGTCTCTCTGGAATCAGATGCAGGTATATTCTTCTTTTTCCTGGAAGCACCTCAACACAATACAACAATCTAATTGATCTTATACAGCCCGAGTTGGTGGCTTTGTTTATTGGGTGGACCCAGGATGATTGAAGAAATCCTTGTGCCAACTCGAGACAGACCAGACAGTTGACAGCCTGAAAGAAGGACTTGTTTTCCTAAGCCCCGTGCAGTCAAGCCCATCCTTTAACAGCCGCACTGTATGTGTTGCCTTGAGATTTGTCCTTGTAGCTGGGATTTAAAATGACGAAAACATAAACGAAGCCAAAGGTCTAATTAAAATAAATAAATAAGGGCTTAGATATAAAAACCCCAATGGGCAAGTGAGCAGAGAGATTAAGCTTTGACCTTGTACAAAACTGTAACAGCCACAATTCTCCACAGAACTTTCTGCTAATGGCGGACAGATGTTCAATTGTAAATGGGCTACAGTTCGATCACTTCCAAGGGTTGTTATTATCATAATTTCAAGGCTGAGAAACTCCATTAATAAATAGAAAACAGCTCTGAGGAGAAGGGGATTCGGTTTAGGTGACCATGAAACAAATTGTACCTTTTCCATGTATGAGAATTTTAAATGTCTCCATCTGCGCATATCTTCCTGCTACTCAAATATAAAGTTAAAGGGTTCTGGGTATTTATTTTTTGGCCTACCTGGCCATGGGAAACTCTGTGGAGAGGACTTGTGCTGGTGGTGGGATTACATGTTCCAATTTAGTGGAAAGTTTCCTTTTTATTGTTGCCTGAGTTAAATCTTTAGGAAATACCAGGAAACTAAGATATTTAACCAAAATTCCCAAATCTGTCTGCTCAGGATTTGTAAACACACACTCACACACACACACACACGTGTGTGCATGTACATAAGATGAAAGCACAACCAAAAGATAAATGCATTTTTCATTAATGGGAAAAGTGTCAAATTCACAGGCAAGGTGTACATTTAGGTTATCTGAAGAGATAAACTATTACATTAAAGAGTTTGAAACCACTTTTACTTACTATATTCATGTTCTAAAAGGAAGTACTTAGTGAAGAAAAATTGCATGTGAGACTCCATGTAATTCTCTGCTGGGATAAGGTTTATTTGTTTTATTTTGATTTCTTTGCCAGACATATTTTACTGGAGAGTCAATGAATACTTGCTGATTAGATTGATCCTGACACAGGCTGAACAACAAACAAATCATTTCAGAATTTCAGCAAAAATTCTGAAAGCATTGTCTTCAATAGTGAAAACAACTTGACATTAAATAACTAGCTTGGCTTCGATTTCTTCTGCTCCAAGTTTGTTTTCTTGTTTGACATATGATGAAAACTTCAAAAACAGACAATATGCTGATGCTGAACAAATGTCAAATTCTGCAGATTAGCAGTTTTCATTTGTGATGTTCACACCACAGAATCATTACTATATTCCACTTTGGGTCAAAGTTACAGGGTTTTGTAACAAGCTCTTCCTATCCCATTAGCTGTAACTGGCTTGACTTGGCTTGATTACAACAGAGATCTGCTTTATGTGGAATTCTGGGCTATAACTAATTGTGTAAGAGTAAACCTTTAGAGCTTTTCTAGATGGTGACTGTAAACTCATCTGCAGCTTGAATTTTCCTCAGTGATTGTTATGTAGATTACACTGCTGCAGTGGTTTTCAAATGTTTTTGAGCATTACTGATAGTAAGAAATACCTTTTAGATCTCAACTTAGGACACATACACACACAATTCTGAAATAATAGTTTCATAAAACAATACTTATGAGTATTGTTTTCTATTTCATTTCATTATACTGTGCAGAATTTCAGGTCATAGCCTAATTAGTTTTGTGACCTACCGGTAGCAGTTCTCAACACTGTCTGAAAATTAAAATCAACCAGGGAATAATAGACCAATGGAATGGACTAAAGATATTAGAAAAAAACCTCTACCAATTTGGACGCTTGGTTTATGACAACATTGGCGTTACAGGAAAAGATGGCCATTTGAAAGTCCATGTAAAAATAAATGGATCTTGATTCTCATCTCAAAATTCAGAGAGCTCTAAGTATCAATCGAGATGTGACAGGTAAAACAATATAACTTCTAGGTCTTCACTTTCCAATATGGCAGCCACTAGCCACTTGTGGCTATATGAGTATCTGAAATACTAGAAAATTTAAAATTACATATGTTACTCCCATTTTTTTTCTACTGAACAGCATTGTTCTAGAGACAAAACAATATATGTATGACATTGGGTTGAATGTGATTTCTTAAACAAGATACAAAAAGTACTAACATGATGAAAAAGATCTATAAATTGGATTATGTTGAAAATAAGAACTTCTGTTTCTCAAAGCATACCACTAAAAGAGTAAAAGACAAACTCCAGGAGAAGAGACATTCGCCACGAATATAACATGCAAGGAGTCATTAGTATAACATGACTTGTTATGCATGTAACAAACAAGGAGTCATATCCAAAACAGAAACAAGGCCATTTTGAAAGGTAGGACCATCCTAACAGAAAAATGGGCAAGAGGTTTGAACAGGTACTTCACAGAAAAACATATTTCAGACAGCCAAGAAACATAAAACATGCTTAACCTTGTTGGCTTTCTGTGGAATGCATATTAAAACCACAATAAAGTACCACTACACACCCACCAGAAAGGTGAAAATTTAAAAGACAGACAATTGAAATGTTGACAAGGATATTAAACCACCAGAACTCTCATACATCACTGGGAGGAGTGTAAATAGTCATGAAAGCTTTGAAAAACTGCTCAGCAATATCTGTTAAACTGAATACACATATGCCTTATGACCTGGTGTTTCTACTCCTAGGTGAATGTTCTGTAGAAATGCATTCCTGTATTTACCTAAAGACATGTTTAAGAATGTTCACAGATGGCACCTTTAAGTGTTGTAACCCCAGACTCAACCCACATTTCCATCAACAACAGAATGGGAAGACAGAGTGTGATATAGTCATTGGATGACTATATATTAGATGTGAATGAAAATGAGTTCGCTACTGATACATGCAACAGCATAGATGCATCTCAGTCCTAAAAGTTGAGTGAAAGAATCCAGATGCCAAGGAATATGCTCGATACAATTGTATTTACGTAAAGTTCAAGAACAGGCAATGTTAATTCATGTTGGTTATGAGGAAGAGTCTGGGGTGCTGGTCATACTCTTTTGTGGTTTGTTACTTTACCATTGGTAAGTTATACTTCAGTAAGTAGTTACAGTAACAACATAGCAGTGACAATACTGATACCAGCACTGCACCTTCAGAGATCTTGGTTTAGTTAATCTGGTTAGGTAGAAAGCATGGTCTAAAAATCTCTCCCAAGTAATTCACATGTAGAACCAGGGTTGGGAACCAGTGCACTAATGGTTCACAACTGACTTGTCATGTGCTATGACAAACTGTAATCATTACACCAGGCTGTGCTAGGCCCTTATTCTCTCTGCTCAAGTTATACTGACTGGAAGACATAATTCACATAGATGAATCTTAGCAACATAAGGAGTCACAGAGTTAACTGCCCTAGAAAGCCAGTCAGGTCACTGAAAGCTGTTGGCCAGGTTGGTAAGTGTGTGCTCCATTTAAGTCCTCTGGCTCTAGCAATTCTTGCCAGATCTTCTGAATTTCTGTGTGAAGCTGCAAATCTGGATTTCTATGTGAAAATTCCTGAATTTTAACTGTTGGCTCAAATTGTTTTAAAGCCCTCCAAACTGATTGGCAGGCCCAAGTTTGCCAGCACCAAGATATCCCATTGTTTTGAAGCTCTGATTTTAGTTTTAGAGCTATTGTAGAAGGACGCTTACTGGTACAGTTGTATAGTATATTAATTATGTTTCTCTTTTTCTGCTTCTGCAGGGATGTTGTAAAACAAAAGGTGACATTTACATACATTACCCGAGTTCCTCAGTAGAAAGCTCTCATATATACTCAGGTAATTGTCTTTATTTTTACTTTATTTTATTTATTTTACCTCTACTGTATTAACTGTAATCTTGGAAAATTAACCTCTGTGACTCAGAAGTGGATTATCTGGCATTGTTTTGCATATTCTGGGGACAAGCAGGGTTTGGGCAAAGTCAATACCGTGCTATTCTCTATGAAATGCTAAAGATTCATATTCTTTCCTTTGGAAGGGGAGATGCAGGGGAAAGCTTATGTGACAGCAGCAGGTAGCAAAGAGCCATCATTCAGTGGTATTTGCTGTCTGTGCTCTGGTCTTTCCACCCCCACAGCACCTGCTGTTCTGATGGGAAGGAAGGAAGAGCTGGCTATGCTAGGCAGGGCTCCAGCTTCCAATGTCTTATCTGTGAAGAGGAGCTTTCAAAACCACACTCCCTCAAAATCATAAAATTGACCCCAAATGATCAAAAGTGATCATTTTTATGAGGATGAGACATTCACGAAGCATGTTCACAAATACTGACTTGAGGAAAGGCGAAGTCGGGTAAGGTGGGGGGGGAGTTGCGTTTTTACTGTGAATGCCTAAATTTGAGTCTGGCTCTATATCACCTTGAGCAAGTTGCTTTCTCTCTGTAAACTTCCTTGTTCACCTGCAGATTGGAAGCATGAATCATTATTATTGTTGTAAGGATTCAGTGAGTGCATGCTTGTGGGTGCAGTTTTGTAAGCTGTGGTATATACAGTTGTTCTTTATAATTTTAATCATCTCATTTACTTTTTGTGGTGGTCTGTGAAAAGCTGGTGTTATTAATTCCCACAAGAAGCAGATATCCATGCTACTGGACATCTGATCCCAGGTCTACGCCCTCCCTGCACCGTCTGTGCTTGCTCCCAGAGCTTCCCGTCCTCCCCACCCTGCCCACTCCTAGTGGGACCGTGCGGGGCTCGGGCAGAAGGGCTCCCATTCAAGGCAACACCCTGCCTTGGGCCTTTCATTTGCTACACCTTCTTACGGAAAGTTTTGCTAAACAGCAAAGGCAGTTCATCACCCGTGTATTTTCCCAGCCTGCTTTTGAGTGAAGGTGAGAGTCAATGGTGAAGAGGCAGCATGCTGGGAGGAGGAGGAAGCGTTGTTAGCCACAGAGTGAAGAGATGCTTCCCGCTCACAAAGAAGGTGCTTGCTGTGAGACGGAGCAGTTCAGCGGGGCTCCGTCTTGACATGCGGACTTCCGTCTTGGCCACGCCATCAACCCCTCTGCTGGCTACACAGCCTGAACAGATCTTTGGCTTCCAGAATTCATGGGAGTTCTGGAGCTTCAGACCTATCCCAAGGCCCTGTGGACTGGCCGACCCCTAATGTTTGCAGGACACAGGGCAAGAATACAAATGCAGGCATCCAGCCCTCAGCCAGGCCCAGCCTTTCCTCCCAGCCCCACTTCTGTCCTGCTCGGCTGGGAGCGTGGTGCGCTTGTGTGAGGCTACCGAATGCTGAGTCCCCTGCCTTGCCTTCCCCAAGGCTCCTTTGAGCCTTCTCCAGCCCTACCATTATACTGTGCTATCACTTTTAAGAGGACAGACCCAGAAAGGGGCCATACAGCTCCTGGAAGCGGGCTCACAGCTGCCAGGCAGGGAATTCTAGAATCCTTGATCACCTAGCAAGTCTGGAAAGGGGGCACGGATGTGGGTGCATATCTCCATGAACCTATGGACTCCTCGCCCAAGGGAGCAGTGAGGCCAGAGGCAGGCCAGAAGGGGATCTTTTAAATTAAAGCTGGAGTGTAAGGGTGGGGCTGCTCCTGAAAATTAAGCACAGTGTCCTGGTACACAGTTGGCACTTAATCATACCTTTGACTGATGTGTGACAGAGAGACAAAGGCTGAGCAATTTCAGAATTGCCGTGGAATATGTAAATGTTGCTCCTTTTCTACCTCCACGCTCCATAAACATCCACCTAGCAGCATGGCAAGGGCTGGAGCGGCTGGGATTTCATAAGATGGCAGATAAGCAGCATTCCCAACCTCATGTACAGCAGGAAGAGCAGTTTACTGAGAAATAGCTTCTAAACAGGGAAGACTAACAATCCGAGGCTCTCCCTCTCCTGGAACAAGAGGACGTCACTGAGACTCAGACGGGTGTCTCTTGGATATTTTTAGAATCCATGTAGGGTTAATGTCTTTCATATGTATTATTCCAGGTAATAATTGGTATATTTGGAGCTGAATATCATCTGATCCTTCTGTTCACTTTTTTTCCAGATAATTCTTTCATTTAGATCAAGCTACAGTCATCTATATTTAAATTTAACGAACATGAGTAACACAGAGGAACTCTGAATCCCCTCGTATAGCACCTGGAGCTGCTGCCTGAGGGTGGGGATGGCAGTGAAGGGGGTCGGCAGCGGGCAGTTCAGCTCTCAGTCCAGTTCTATCACTGGCTCATCTCCAGGGCTCTTCTCCACAGAATTTGGACTTGTGATTCACAGTAGCACTTCTGCCAAGTATATTTTTTGGTGGAATTTTTTTTTTTTTTTTTTTTTTTGAGATGGAGCCTTGCTCTGTCACCCGGGCTGGAGTGCAGTGGCACAATCTTGGCTCGCTGCAACCTCTGTCTCCCGGGTTCAAGCGATTCTCCTGCCTCAGCCTCCTGAGTAGCTGGGATTATAGGCATGTGCCACCACACCAGCTAATTTTTATATTTTTAGTAGAGACAGGGTTTCACCATGTTGGTCAGGCTGGTCTTGAACTCCTCACTTTGTGATCTGCCCTCCTTGGACTCCCAAAGTGTTGGGATTACAGGTGTGAGCCACTGCACCCCGCCTGGTGGAATTTTTTAAAATAAAATATCCAGTAAGTCTTACTTTAAAGAAAAAAAAATTAAAAAGAAGGCCTACGAGCCCATTGACCCCAAATCAAGATCAATAGAGGAGAATCAGAAAATCACATTGGCACATGTTTGATTGATCCCCCAGGGAAAAGCAGCTGATGAAGTGCCAGGTGTAGTGTTGAGCTAGGAGATCCTGTGGATGTTAGCGTAGTATCGTCTCACCTTCGTACCAGCTGCTATTCACTAATAGGCAGAGAGATGCTGTGAAAACTGCATAAATGCATAATGATGGGAATTTACGGATACTCCTTTGACAGAACGTGTATTTGAAAAGTCTGGAAACTGGGGACTTTTAAATTTTTAAACAATATGTTACATTTTCAAACAATATGCCCAAGACCTTTTCTGCCAGATATCTTTGCAAGCAAACTATCTCTAAATACAAAGTCATAGATTTAATCATTAATTTAAAAAATTGAATAAATGACATTCATTCTCTAATGTTCAGACAGTGCAGGTATCCTGTATGGGCCAACCTCCCTCCCTGTCTCTTTTCCTCTCTGTTCCTGTCTCTCTGTCTTACTCTGCGTGTGCATTTTTCTCTTTCTCTCTGTCCCTCTTTCTGTCTTTCTGTGTTTGTCTCTGTCTTTGTCTGCCTCCCCCTATCTATTTAATAGCTGGGTGTTGTACACCTTTTTCTTGAAGAGGATTCTTGCATTAGACAGGGGCTAGACAGAAAAGACTAGCCTTTTTCCAGTTTGAGGTCTTATGATTTATTTTCTCTTGCCGAGTAGTTAGCAAGGGCTGGTGGTCAATGACAGAGGGAGCAACTGCCCTGGCTGGAGAAATGAATGACCCATCCCTGTTTGCTCAAGGTAGAAAACAGTAACTACTCCAACAGGTGACTAAGCCCCCAGCTGAATGCCATTGGCCCCTGGCCAGAGGGAGATCTTACTTTTTATTGTTCTAACTTTTCCTGTAATTTTGGAGTCTGAGAAGAAAGCAGTTGAGACTGTATTTGGGGATGTTTTCCCGTATTCTCTTTACCATTTTCCCGCCGCTCCTGCAGGTGCTCACGCCCACTGCACTTCACCCTTCTCTGAAAACTACTAGAATCTTTGTCATCTTGTTCTTTTCCAAGAGGTGCTTTATCTTGTGGGGGCTGTAGGCTGTACAACAGGAAACTCTGCCTGCAAACATTACGTAACATGAACATATGTTAAAATATTAAAATTTGAGCTTGCTTCATCAGTGTGCCCTAATAACCCCAAATCTTTCCCTTAAAGGGACCTGGCTTCCTCTTTATCTGTGGGTGCGGGACAGATGCTCCAAATTCCTTCTTCATCAAGAGGCAGCCTCACACCCTCCTCTAAGGTCTACTCTCTTTCGTAAAATGATTCCTTTGGTGGCACTGCCCAAGACAGGTTTCATGAGGTAAGAAATCCTGCTGTCACCGAGGAAGTGAGTCACCCTGCAAGTGACACTACCCCTTCAGAAAAGCCTCTCCCCCACCAACACTTGGTCAGGGTGACCTAAACCCTGATGAGGGTCTTTTAGGAAATGAGAGACTGCTGGCTGGCCATTGTGCCACTTGGAAGGCACAGTGCCATTGATGAGAAAATGTAAACGGTGACTGCCGTGCCAATGCCAGCAGTATATCGGGTACTTGCCATGTGCCAGGCATTACATTAGGTAATTGAGAAGTATGATGTACTTTATTTAATCCTGACCTGGAACTGAAAAAATAAACACAAAATGTTCTGTCTGTTTTTACAGATGGATTTGCCCAAGATCCCTTAGCTGTTAAGTGACAGGACTGACCTTCAAACTGAACTTCCTGACTCCAGACCCACAGGGCTAAATTGTTAGGCTCTGTGAGAAATTAAGAAACATCGTTTTCCCTAAGCCGTGTATCTGGAAAGTGGTGAAAATCGCATTCAGATACCCAAACCCCTTTTCTTAGCAAGCCACTAGGTCCTGGGCTCTCACATGTCCTGTCCTGGAAATCCTGGGCCTGTTTGCTGGGATTGGGAGGGAGATCTGGGCATCTTTGGAATGTGAAGCCTGTTTTTGGAAAGCTTGCAACTACCTGACACTGCAATACAGACTCTCCAGGGCCGGTCCGGTGTTTAATTAGCACCGCTGTTACCCATTATGTGGGCTTTCCTTACTGAAAGATGCTGTGAAACCCCTTCTCTCTTCCCAGTAGTGAGAGAGATGGAGAACACGATGGGGGAGGAGGCTGTGAAGCCACGGGAGGTTCTCCCATTACTCTCTCTGGGGAATCTTCTAAAACTTAGTACGTAGTTTTATTGTTTAAACAAGCCTGACATCAGATTCTTTCCTGTACCCAGTAGGTGAGGATAAGAAGATGAGGTTACTGACAACACTTGCCCACATCTTACTGTGTGCAGGTATGTCTGGACACCTAATCTCCCTTAGTCCGAGGACAGGTCTTTGTGGTAGGTGGAATTAACCCCATTTAACAGGTCAGCAAACAAAGACTCAGAGGTAGAGTTGCCTGAGATCACTCAGCTATTAAGAGAAGGACTGGCCATCAAACCGGGTTTCCTGACGCAGAACCCGATGCAGAGTCACGGTTCTCTTGAAACTGTTTAGGCTCTGTGCAAGGCACATAGCTGCTTGTGGTATGAGAAATACTACATTCACTCATTTTGTTTCTTATTTTTGTTTTATTCATTAATTCCCAGCTTGCAATTTGTATGATGGCCTTACCAACCCCTTTCTAATTGGATGAGGTGACGAGTAGCCAGTATAGCACCCTTGACTGGTGCACAGGTCTTCGCAGACACTAAGGCAATCCTTTAGTCTCTCAAATGGGAAAACTGAGACAGAATCTGGTCACTCACCTTAGGCTCTTTGTGACTCACTGGCAGCAGGTTCCCAACTCCCTTGCTCTGGCCTGGACCAGTCACTTGTGCCCGACACTAATAACAGGGTAATTTGTGAGGCAAGATGTGTGAGTCACCAGGTGAGGGAGGAGAGTTTGTGAAGATGGCCATTGGGGAGGAGCAAGATGTTTACTAGCAATTGCAAAGGAAATGATGGCAGGATGATATTTGGATTAACATTTCTTAGCCCTGTAACACCATTGCCTAGTTACTCAGTCACCAATTTACAGTTTAGATTCCTAAAGTTAACAACCAAAAGGTGGGGAGGGGAGTTCTACCTTTAAAAGCAGAACTATCGGCCGGGCACGTAATCCCAGCACTTTGGGTGGCCGAGGCGGGCGGATCACAAGGTCAAGAGATCGAGACCATCCTGGCCAACATGGTGAAACCCCGCCTCTACTAAAAATACAAAAATTAGCTGGGCGTGGTGGTGCATGCCTGTAGTCCCAGCTACTCAGGAGGCTGAGGCAGGAGAATTGCTTGAACTGGGGAGGCGGAGGCTGCAGTGACCCGAGATTGTGCCACCGCACTCCAGCCTGGCAACAGAGCGAGACTCTCTCTCAAAAAACAAAACAAACAAAAACACCAGAACTATCAGTCTCATAGTGTTGCTCCCATCACCTTGGACCCCCTTTTTGAACCCTAAGATTTACATTCTTCTGAGACATATCTGTTCTGTGACTTTGCTTTACATCCCTCTGATTTCACTCAGACCTGTTTTTCTGCAAATTTCTATCCACATTACCAGTCTAAGTCAACTTCCTGGCTCACTTACCTCCCTGGGTCCTGAGTGGGCCTCTGGCAATCTCTGCCAAGATGAGCCAGCGTAGGTTAAGGTGAGGAGGCCTTGGGAGAATTCCATTTTGGCAAGCACTGCCTCCTAGAATTGTGTCTTTATTACCTCCACACTATAAAGTCAGTTCACAGGTAGATTTCAAGAGCCTGTCTTCCTACTGAGGAAGCACACTTTGTATTTTCTCTGAAATTGTTAAAATCCAAAAGATTCCAATAGTTAGCTGTTTTGTTAGTAAAACAGCTGTGATAAGTTTTTATGTAGGTAACAAACTTGCCTTACTTAAAATTGGTTTAATCCACATATCTGTCAAGCCATTACCTTTGGTATATGAAACATTTACTATAAAAAATTAGCCTCTTAAAAATATTGATGTGAAATAAATCACCTTTTAGTCTGGGGCAACTAGGCGTGTATTGGAAAAACTCTGGTTTTCCTGGGTTTACTCAGATAAAGCAATTTTATTTCCCTGGGACTCAGTTTCTTCTTATCTGTAGGACTGGGCTAGATGTTGCATGATTTTTGGAACAAACTTTGCTTTCATTCATTTGAATAATCAAATAACAAAACAGTGATAAATTTTCCTAATACTGAATTAACAGTAACACTATTTTAAAAGTTTAAGCCACCCGGAATTTATCATTTTAGTATATCAATTACTTTTTATGTTTCTTTCTAGCTTTTATCTTAATACCCACATACATACATATAATATGTATAAAATCATATGATGAGCTCATATGCCATCATACAAGCATAGTATGATATAACTTTGATGGGGTTTTACTTTTTGATGTGTCATAAGCATTTTTCATGTTGATAAATTTTATAATTTTTAACAGCTGAATAATATCTGGAGTTAATATTTCAAATGTACTTAAACATCCTGGTTTTTAAAAAACTAATATTACTAACAATGAAGTTTTATTTATTAACTGTAGTTTTTAAAAACATTGTGTCTGGTTTTATGTTTTATGTATATTCCCAGGTAGACTTAAACATTTTAGTGACTCCTAAAATTATTACCTAGTTTCCAAAAGGATAGTATCATTTATGTGGCCACCAGTAACAGACGTGTGTAGTAGTTTTACTGTATCCTAGTTAGCGCTGTTATTTTTAAATAATTTTTTCTAACTTAGTAAGTGTCAATTAAAGAATTTTAGGATGTGGAAGTTTATTTAGTTCCCTTCTTTAGAAGGGCAATTTCATGGTATTTAATAACTTGATTCCAATTTGTCATTTAATAGACATGCATTAAGGCGATTTATAAGCATTAACCCATTTCCTCTTTCTAACAGCAACCCTGCAGGGAGGTACAATGATCAACTCCATCTTGTAGATGGGAAAGCTGAGGTCATGGTAGCTGTCCAGGGCACATGGCTAGTTAAGTGTGAGACTAGGCTTTAGACCTGAGGAGCCTGGCTCCAAAGTCCATGTGCTTGACTGCTGTGGTTTACGTATTGAGCTCTTACTATTTGTACACTTACTGTGTGCCAGGTTAGGGAACCTTGGGGGCTCTGGAAAGCCTAGATGAGGATCTTATAGACACTTACATGGAGACTCGAGGAATAAGGAGAAGGGAGTGAGGTGAAGGGCAGAGCATAGCATTCCAGGCAGAAGGAATGCCCCATATACATGCCTCAAGGTTAAGAAAGAACTTTGACAGTAATTCCAGCACTTTGGAAGGCTGACTTGGAAGGATTGCTCGAGCACAGGAGTTTGAGACCATTCTGGGCAATATAGCAAGACCTCGTCACTACTAAAAATAATAAGAAGAAACTAGGTGGGTGTGGTGGTGCGTGCATGTGGTCCCAGCTACTTCGAAGGCTAAGGTGGGAGGATTGCTTGAGCCCAGAAGGTCAAGGCTTCAGTCAGCCGTGATCATGCCACTAAACTTCAGCCTGGGTGACAGAACAAGATCTTGTCTCAAAAGAAATAAAATAATAAATAAGTAAGAAGTTTGCTTTTTGCTCTCAAGGATTAGGAAGCAGACCCTCACAGTTGCAGTATCACTGACTGAGGGGAAGCAGGGCACAGAGGACTGGAAATGTAGGCAGGGGTCCAATCGCCCGGGGCCCTCCTGCAAGCATCTCAGGTACAGGAGAGTGTGCAGGGAGAGGGACGATAGGGAGCTGCCTCCAGAGAAAGGAGGGACTTTCTTTTTGGAAAAAAGCCTCCAACAGAACCTTTTCCAAGTGGAGCTTCTTCTGCGCACAATAGCAGGCAGCAGTAGCTGCCTGGAACTTTTCTAAGAATTACCTCATTGGCTCAAGATTTAGGTTAGGAAGGGGCTGATAGATTGTGTAATTAGAGGGAGATTACACAGATCAATTCCGCTCCTATGTCATTGATCCAGGCACAGTCACACGTGCTGTGTCTGGGGAGGCTGGAGAATGCTGCTTCACGGAGCAGGCAGTTGAATGCCAGGTGTCACTGGGGTGTTGGCTGGGGGCATAACTAAAAAGAATAAATGGATACTTGGGGGCACCCTAATAACCATTTGGTGATATCTCTCAAGTGATACCATATTTTTGTTACAAATAATCTGAATTTTTTTTAAAAATCTCTAAGCAGTGTATCGTGGAGTTTTATTACACAGCCAAGAGAAACACATCTTGAAGAGAAGAGCAGAGGAGAGGGCTCTGGCTTGAAAGGGACCTTGACCCCACACAGATGCTAAATGTCTAGTTGGCATTTTTGAGCTTTATTAGTTTTGCTAGGAAAATATC